GATAAAAGGATTAATCAATCAAGAAAAAATAATCATAAACACAGATGTACCTAATAACAGAGCACCAAAATACATGCAGCAAAAACTGACAGAATTGAAGAAAAAATAGTCGATTAAACAATAATAGAAATTTCAATACTCTTACTTACAATAATGGATAGAAGAACTAGGCAGAACATCAACAAGGAAACATGATGTGAATAACGCTATGAACCAACTAAATAAACCTCACACACATCTATAGAACACTCCATCCCGCAACAGCGGATTACATTCTCCAGTGCACAAGAAACATTCTCCAGGATAGCCCAAATGCTAAGCTATGAAACAGACCACAATAAAGTTAGAAGCATTGAAATAATAGAAAATGTTTTCTGTGACCTCAATAGAACAAAATCAGAAATCATTAAAAATAGATATTTGGGAGACTCACAAACATGTGGATATTAAATAACACACTCCTAAATAACCGTGAGTCAAAGAAGAAATTAGAAAGGAAATCAGAAAATACCCCGTGATAAATGAAAATGAAGATACAACATATATATCAAAATTTATGTACTGTAGCTCAGAGAAAAATGTAGAGTTGTAAACATCTGCACTAAGTCCTCAGTTAATGTTGTTGATGGGTTCTACAACTTCAAGCGAAACAGCGTATAATGAAACCAGTTTTATCACAGGCTAAAGGATATAAACAAGAGCTAAGTTCTGACAGCATATCATCAGTTATAATGAAGCAACATGAATGAAAGGACATTATTCAGGGATGTGCTGTACATTTAAAAAGGAAGAAAGATGTCAAATTAGTAATCTAACTTTCCACCTCAAGAGACTAGAAAGAGAAAATTAAACTTGAAGCAAACTGAAGGAAGGAAATAATAAAGATTAGAATGAAGAATTGAAATATTTGTACATCCATGTTCATTGCCGCATTATTCATAATAGCCAAAATGTGGAAGTAATCCAGTTGGATAAATGGATGAAAAAATGTGGTAATCTCTCTCTCTCAATCTCTCTCTCTCTCTCTCTCTCTCTCTCTCTCTCATTCTCTCTCTCTCACACACACACACACACACAGAAATAGTATTTAGCTTTAAAAAAGGAAAGAAATCCTGTCACATGCTACAATATGAATAAACCTTAGGGACATTATGATAAGTGAAATAAGGCAGTTACAAAAGGACAAATACTATATGATTCCATTTATAATAAGTTCCTAGAGTAATGAAATTCATAGAGACACAAAGTAGAATGGTGGTTGCCAGGGGCTCCAGGAGGGAAAGATTTTTTGTTATTGCTTAATAGGTACGGAGTTTCAGTTTTGCAAGATAAAAAAGAGTTCTGTGGCTGGATGGTGGTGATGATGGGACAACAATGTGAATGTGCTTAATGCCACCGAACTGTACCCTTAAAAATTGTTAGGATGGTAAATTTTATGTTATATGTATTTTGCCACAAAAAGATTAGAGTGGAAAGTAATGAAATAGAGAATAAAAAAATAATAGAGGAAACGAACTAAACCAAAAGTTGATTCTTTGAAAAGTTCAACAAAATTGACAAACCTTTAGCTAGACTGACTAAGGAAAAAAGAGAGAAGACTCAAATTATAAGAATTAGAAATAAAAGAGGGGGACATTATGCCAACCTTATAAAGATAAAAAGGATTATCTCTATAAAAAGGAACAACTGTATGCCAATAAATTAGATAACGCAAATGAAATGGACAAATTCCTAGTAAGACACAAACTACGGAAACTGACTCAAGAAGAAATAAAAAATCTGAATAGACCTATAATAAGAGATTGAATTAGTAATTATAAAAAAATCTACTCACAAAAGAAAGCCCAAGCTCAGATAGCTTCACAGGTGAATTCTACCAAATATCTAAAGAATTAATATTAATTTTTCACAAACTCATCCAGAAAACAGAACAGGATGCAACACTTCTCAAATCATGAAACTGATAAATGTTACTACATGGATGAACCTTAAAAACAATATTCTAAGTGAAAGAACCTAGGTACAAAGAACCACACATTATATGATTCTATTTACATGAAATGTCCAGAAAGGCAAATCTATAGAGACAGAAAGTAGATTCGTGGTTGCTAGGGGCTGGGGGATCAGGAGGCGACAACTAAAGAGTATAAGGTTTCTTTTTGAGGTAAAGAAAATGTTCTATAACTGGTTGCGGTGATAGTTACACAGCTCTGTGAATATACTAAAAAATCATTGAATTGTACACTTTAAATGAGTAAATTATATGGTATGTAAATTATATCTCATTAAAGCTGTTACCAAAACAAGCGTTTCACTTTTAAATGTTATATATGCTGAGCTCTTTATAATATTTTATTTCCATGGCTTATAAAAGCCTTTGGGTTGATGTGCAGGTCAGACATCGAGGGATACAGAGAAGACTCTAGCCCAGCACTGCTTCTGAGCCTGTGGTCAGATCAGGGGTGGGGAACACCCAATTAAATGCCAACCTGCCAAAATACCTAGAACCTTGCCAGGTGGGTTGTACTCTCTGTTAAGAATCAAGGGAGAAAAAACAAAGCTAGCCAACATTTATCAAGCACCCACTGTATGCCAGGCACTGTGCTAAGTACTTTCCATGCATTATTTCATTGAAGCCTCACAACAATCCTATGAGTTAGTGTCCTCATTAGCCTCATTTTACAGATGATGAAACTGATATTTCAAGCTTCTGCTCTCCCACATCTCCTGACAAGTAGAGGGAGACGCTTGGGCCTGCAGGAGCCCCAGACAGAATCAGGTTTAAGATGGGGCCAGAAGAGGGCCTCTACCTGTTCAAGGGGGAAACTGAGGCTCCATGGGCCATGAAGGTCTCACTTGGAGTGGCATGGATGTTCAGGGAGGCAAAGGATGCTGATATCCCAGACCAGGGTCCTCACACACATTGCGCTCTCCCCTCAGCACTTCGCCTCTCTGAGACTCTGTTTCTTCAACTGTAAAATGGGGCTATTACTCCTATTTCTGCCAAAGAGTTAAGAGCCCTGCACAAGATAAGTGAACACTCTGTATAAACCACATAAGGGAAGAAACAGGACTAGCCCTGTGCTAGAAAGCAAGAAGCACTGAGGGCAGGGGCCCTCTGTCCCACATTTAGAAGAGCTGTGACCCTGTCTGGAGAGAGGGCAGCCATGTGCACACATAGTTGCAAATACACACTCACACATCCCTTCGCCATCCCCTTGCCTCCGGCTCACCATCCATCACCTTTGAGTACTAGTCATGCTGTGGGAGACATTGCCACCCTTCTCCCATCGACCAGCCAGTCCCACTCAAGCCCTCCTTCTCCTGGAAGCTTTCCCAGGCTGCCAGCTCAGCAGGGGCACACTTGCTCACCTCCTCTGAGCCCCGAGAAGCCCTGTTGATGTTTGAATGTCACCTGTCTGCAGGGTTTAAAATCCCAGCTCATCCACTGATCAGCTTGATGACCCTGTGTGAGTTCTTGACTCACACAAAACATCACGCAACATGAGGTTAAAAAGAGCACTCTATATACTGGATGGTTGTGAGCGCTGAATGAAATAATGCTTGGAGAGCACTTAGCACAACAGTGTCTCCTCCTTCAGTGGGGCTATGTCATGCTCTGCCCACCTCACAGGCTGTAGGCAGGAGAGGAAGGAGGAAATTTTCTGAGGATTGCTGTGAATGACTGAGAGCAGAAAGCCCCTGTGCTGGGTACTCAGCTGGGGAGGGCACAGGTGCTGCTGACTGGGTGGGCACATCCCTGAGGACCAATCAGATGCTCAGCTGCCCGTTTGCTCCTCATCCTATTCAGAGAACCCCTGGTGGGTAGGGCCTCACCTTCTGCTGACATCTCTTCCTGCCAAGGCCCCCAGCTTAGAGCATAACGAGAAGCAGACAGGGCCCACTAGAAAACAGCCACCAGTGAGTCAGCTCCCACTAATCAGGGTTTGGGGGCCTCTCTTGTCCAGGGCTGGGGGGAGGCTGAGCTCATTGGTATACATGAATCATGGCAGGGGGGCTGTCTTACTAAAATGCAGTTTTGGGGTGGACCTAAGATTCTGCGTTTCTGATAAGCTCTGAAACGACACTGTTGTGGCCGTGCCTGGCTGTACCGTAAGTAGCAAGGACCTAAAGCATGAGGAGCAGTAGGCAAGAAGCACATCTCGGCCTCCTGCTGGTCCTGGAGGGACCCAGACCCACCCAGCCACACCCTTGGCTTCCAACATCTGGAGGGTGAGACTACATGGATTTTCTAAGTTTCCAGGATTCCATTTCCATTACATATATAAAATAAAAGCAGTACCACATCATAAAAACACAGGAAAATATGGAAAAAATAATAGGGAAAAATCACTGATAATTTCACATCATATTTAAAACAACTGTTAACTTCTCTCCCCAGGATTCCAAAGCCATGTCTGTCAGAGAGCCAGGGGTCATCTCCTGAGTGGGGTCTGCCCCGGTAGCCCTGCCCTGTCATGGCAAAGCACTGGGTGAGAAATGGGGGCTGCTCTCCACACCGACAATCTCCTGGTGTCCTCCCTCACAGGCCGCAGGCTGGGGAAGCCTGTTGCAGAGGAGGCAGAGGTAGGGTCTGGGGGAGGGGCGAACATCTGGATTCCTGGCCCAGAGCCTGCATTCCTTCCCTGTGAGTGTGAGGGGACAGGGTCTCAGGAGAGCTGTGAGGAGGCTGCTGGCCCCCATCCCACCCCACCATAACAGGACCCACCCTGGCAGGGAGACTGGTGGGGACTTGAAAGCTCAGAACCTCATTTTGGGGTTCCCCATGCAGATTGCTGGCTAACCAATGCAGACCCAAGCTGGGCTCTGTCCCATCCACACCAGCCAGCCGTGCCTCAGAAATACCAGAAGGGACAAAAAGGTGGAGACCAGGGGGCCACAGAGCCACTTGTTTGTGGAAGGGGCCCTAAGGGGCTGCTCCACCTGTCCTACCCACAGAAGCCCGACCCATGAGCCTAACCTGGGCTGGGCTGCTTTACCTGGGGGCAGTCCTTGATGTAGTGTCCTTTGTTGAAGCACAGGTGGCACAGGTAGTTGGGCGGGGGCCTCTTGCTGGGCTTGCGCGTCTCAGAGGTGAGAGTCAGGTCAGAGAAGTGTTCGGTGAGGGAGCTGAGGCCGTCAGCAATGTTGTTGAGGGAGCCGTAGGGCGAGGCACTCTTGTATACACCGCTGCTCAGCGCCTGCGAGGGACAGAGGCTCTGAGTGCTCCAGAAAGCCTGGACATACTCTTTTGCAGCCATGACCTCGAGGAAATTTCCATGGCACACACACACACACACACACACACACACACACACACACACACACACACGTGAATTCATAATGATCCTTCAGCTGCCCATGGGTTCTGGCCTCCTGGAGCTTGAGTCCAAACCCTAACTCCAGTTGTGTGTCCATGAGCAAGCCATTTAACCACTCTGGGCCTCAGTGGCCGTATCTGGAAAACAGGAATAATGATATCTACCTCCTAGGGTTTCTATAAAACTAACACGAGGCCACAAAGGTATAGCACTTATCTCCTGCCTGGCACTTACAAACTGTTCAGTAAATGGTGATGATTATGATGATGATGATGATGATGATGATAATGATGATGATAATGATAATTATTATTATCATTAGTTCTTCTTTACACACTGCTAGGAGTTATGAAGGTATAGCAGAAAGCAATCTGGGCTCTGCCACCTACTAGTGGAATGACTTTAGACAAGTCACTTATCTCTGAGCTGACTCAGTTTCTCCAAGTTGTAAGGAAGAGGTACATCAGATAGCCGCATGGCTTCCATTGGACAGAAGAGCAGACTGAAATTCAGCACTTTGCCCGCTCTCCTGTGGCACAGGGTCTGTGCATACTGTCCAAGGAGCCCTCGGCCTGGCCCAGCCAGCTCTCTGGGAGCCCAGGGAGGAAGTGGGCCGCCTCACCCACCTCGCTTACCTCTCCCACCTCCAGTGGACAGGAACCAGATGTATTGCCTGGCTTCAAAGCAGACGTGGCCCAGGCCCCCTCCTGGTGTATACAGTCTCTATTTATAGGAGTCACGGGCTCCAGGCAGCCAGGCACACTGGAATTTAGTGAAGGTGGGGCCTGTGGTGAGGCCATGGGCCCCCTTTCCTGGGGCAAGGCCAAGGTTTGAAAGAGGCAGCTTCTACAGGAGGGTCAATGACAAACCTGGGAATAAGGCTTGGGTGTCCCCTGGCCCTAGCTCAGGTGCCCAAGAACTCCAGGAATGAACTATGGAGAAACATGGTTTAATGTTTGCAGCTAATAGAAAAACATGGCCTTGTTCGTGGGAGTCCCTAGGCTGAGCGGGGAGAAGAGCCCCTGAGAGGAAGCTGCCTCAGGTTCCCTTACAAAGACGGGGCAGATAGGAACCAAAAGTGGGGACAGTCCTTTCTGTGTCCCCTCAGTGAGAGGAGGTGAGCTAAGCTGGCCCCAGGGGATCAAGCACCCACTACCCCACAACCAGGACAGATTCACACCCCTCACACACGTATAATTTGGCCTATCTGTTTCACCTCTGGGGATCTGGCACTCCGCTTCTAGAGGACACGACTCTCACTTATCTGGGTGCTACCCCTCTTCTTGGCTCTCTGAATACCCTGCTATGTGACTCTGGGCCAGCCCTTTCCCTCTCTGGGCTCTGTTCCCTCTCATGTAGGTTTGGACTGGAGCCGGGGATCTGGAAGGAAAGACACAGACAGCACGTCTGGGGCAGCCCAGGCCCAACACACAGTCAGCCTCCAGACACTGGGCATGGAACTCAAAGGCTCCTAATGACCATCTCTGCTCTACTGCTGTCCGGTGCTACCATGAAACCCAGGACCAGGGGAAGACACCACACAAACCCACGTTCAGTCTGAAGATGACTCTCCAACTCCGCTGGCCCAAGATGGGGTGGTCCATCCTGCGAGGCAGAGGTACCCCCATCCCTGGAGGTGTGCAAGCCAATACTGGACAACCTTAAGGGGTGTGAGAAGGCTCCAATGGAAATGGGATTAGATGGTAACTGAGCACTTACCACATCCCAGGCCCTGGAAACTTTATACGTTTTAAGATAGCTGATGCTCATAACCCTATGAGTCATTGTCCCTATTGTACAGATTAGACGAGTACGTTCCAACTTGTGGTGAATAATCAGGGAAAGATTTAACAAACACACTTTTCTGGGCCCCGCCTCAGACTGACCAAAGCAGCTATCAGGGACTGAGGACCCGGAATCTGCACTTTTCATTGTGGTAAAATATACATTACATAAAACCTACCATGTTAATGATTTTTAAGTGTACAGTTCAGTGGCATTGAGTACATGCACCTTGTTATGCAACCATCACCACCATCTATTTCCAGAACTTTTTGTCATCTCAAACTGAAGCTCTGTCCCCATTAAACACTAATTCTTCCTCCCTGACCCCCAGCCCCAATCTGTGTTTTTAAAGGTCCCCCAGGCAATTCAGGTACAACCCTACCAGGCCTTGGGTGCACCCGGACTTTCCAGGGGTCAAGGTTTCTCCAGAGATGGACTCTAGGCCTCTCCTCACCCCAACGGGCCTGAGCGAGGGCAGCATGGCCCCAGCCTCCCAGAGAAAAGTTCATCCAAACACGAAACTTGAATCTCCAAATGCTTCAAGTGACTCACCCTCATGGCTGGGAAATGCAATTTCACAAATAACAACTCTCTTTTTTCCCCCCTCTTTTCTTTCTTTTTTCTTTTCTGGATAAGATTTAAGCAAGTCCACAGGAATCAGAACTGTTTGGCAGCAAATTGTCAAGAGGAAGGAGAAGTTCAGTGGATGCCAGAAATTGCACTAATTATATCCTGAAAAACCTCCCCCTTCCTCCCCACCATCTTGCGGCCACTCTCCTGTGCCTATGGGTGGCCCTGTGGGTGTCCCTGAGCAGCCAGAGGCCTCTGAGCAGGCTGCCCTCTCCCTGGCTGCTTGACACCTCACAAGGGTCACAGCTTCGCCCATTACACAGGCAGCTCCTGGTCAGAGAGGTGAGGCCAGAGCTCCCCTCTCACTGCCTCTTCCACCTCCAGAGTACTCTGGCCTGTCCCTCATGGCTGCTCCAGCCCCAATGCAACATGATGCTACCTTAGAGCTGAAGAGACAGAGAGTGGTCAGCTGACACAACCTCACTCTCACAGACGGAGAAACTGAGACCCAGAGAGGCCCAGTGCCATAGACCAGGGCACTCTGCCAGGCCTGAGGGCCAGGAGTCCTGCTTGCCTGTGGCGAAAAGGGTGGGTGGGGCAGCAAGCTGTTTCCTCTCTGAAGAAGTCTGAAGAGCTCCGGCCATGGAGGTGAAAGGTGAGTTGGCCTCTCAGCCATTTCCACGGCCCGTGAGGACTGAATGGATTGGAGGCCAGGACACAAGGAGCTTCCCTCGCTCTGGCTGCAGAGCTGGGGCCTGACCTCTTGGATTTCCCATGTGTAAAATGTAAAATGGGGCAGGGAAGGAGGACAAATTTGATGATCTCGGCAGTCCTACTTTCTTAAGGTCCAATACCCAGGCGTTGAAAGACACCCCCAGAGCCCAGCATGTAGATGGTACTTAATCAACAAGGGCACCATCTGTTCCAGGTCCTGCCATCTGTAGCCGGAGGGCAGGGCCAGAAAGGACTTCCCTTCATCAGTCAGCCCCTTACTCTGCAACATTCGAGCTGCTCCTCTCCATGTTCCAAAGAACTGCTTTTCTCCCCTCAGTTCTGTACTTGCTATCCACCCCTAGGAGGCTCTGTGTCCATCCATACAAACCTCCTCCAAAACTTGTTCTAGATCTGGTTCTAAAACTAATGGTGGGCCTTGAACCCACCCCTTCCTCTTACTCACGCCTCAAGCTCCACAGGAACGTATAAAAAGCACAGATTCAGGTGCTCCTGAGGCCCTGCTAACCCCAAAGGCCCTGGCCTCCTCCAGGGGCCTCTTGGACCTCCCTGCCATAGCCTTGTCCCTCAGTGCTATAGGTGGGGGTAGGGAATACCCCATGATTCCCCTGCCCTTGCCTGAAGGAGCACTGATATCTTTCTAATCTCTTTGCATGGTGATGTCTCCTCATGTCTCCACAAGGCTGGACATCCCCGAAGGCAAAGATTCTGCAACAATTGTCACCCCAAAGCCCAGACTGTTCTTCTGCTCCTACACCCATGACTCTCCTGGGTGCAGAAAATCACAGGCAGGGAGGCCTGGGAGTCCCACTCAACAGAAGAGGGAACGGATGCCCTAACACCTTGAAGGATTTAGGTTTGGGGTCTCCAAATTCCTGTGGACTAAGTTGGAGGGTCCTCTCACCCCAGATTAAGCTTCTCTGGGCACTGGTTGAGGGCAGCACTGGGTGGAAGCCTCTGGGCCATTAAGGCCCAAATCACCATCCTAGGAGAAGAGACCACGTGTCCTTCCTCCATGGATGATTCTGGCTTGGTCACTGGGGAAAGTTAGATTGGAAGACACTAAAGTTTATTCTGATCCTACTTATGTCATATAGTTGACTGGATCCTTTCCCTTTTTTAGTCCTCTTGTACCTGGCAAGAACACTATTTGGATGGGCATTATTGGTCCTATTTCACAGAACTGGAAACTGAGGCTCAGAGAGGCTGAGCAACTTGCCTAGGGTAACAAAGCCAGCATGTGGCTGAGAGGAGATTCACACTCACCCAGATCTGTTGACCTGTTATATTTCAGCCTCTACACGGCCTCCAAGATTTGACTTCCCCTCTAGGAAGCGGAGCCAGAGAAAAATGCCAGGTGCAAACCACTCTTCTTGGTACACAGGCCTTGTGACATTATATTGTCAAGCCCCTCAGTGCTAACGAGATGAGGCAACAGCTTCTCTGAACTATGTGAGGGGTTTGAGCCCTGGGTTTGGTGGTTCTGCTGAGGGATTCGGGATACAGAGGTAGAGCTGACTCAACCTGTCAAACTGTGCTCCTCTTCTTCCCCCCTCATCCCTGCTCCAGGACAGGAAGAGGGCACAGTGGGAGGGGGACAGACTAATGTTGGGGCAGGTGGGCAGAAGCTCCCAAGAACAGCCTAGAGGGAGAGGAGACCAGTGCAGACCACAGAGGCGGGACAGCAGGCACACACAGGAGCAGCGTTCACAGGGAAGGACATGGAAGCAAGTGAGGCCACAAGAAAGGCAGCCCCTGAGGAGGCCTGGCAGAGGCGAATGATGAGTCCTACC